CCCTCAAATTCATTTCTTAAAAGGAATAGGAATAAATTTATCTTTAAAAAAATATAAAAATAAATTATCTCTTTAATTATAAATCAAAATAAATTATTTATTTTTTAACATATAATGTCAAAATTTTAATTGTCACATAAGTTTTTCTTAACAAAAAATTGAAATTACAAGTTAAAAAATAAGTGATTTATCTTAATTTATAATTTAAAGAGATAATTTATCTTTAAATTTTTTTTAGAGATAAATTTATCACTATCTCTTTATTTGAGGGATGAATTTGAAAGTTTTGTCCTAAAAGAACTATTTTTTATAACTGAAATAATATCTTCTCTCTGTTTTTGTTTTTGTTTTGTTTTGTTTTCTTATTTCTGGAAATTCAACATATTTGACCAATAGATCTTGGTGTTGTTCAAATCTTAGAATCATGATTATTGTTTAGACCAGGAAGTACCATACACTACAGCGTTCCTGAAACTGTATGCTTACCAATCAACATGCCATCCCATTAGATCCGTTATTTCCGAGTACCATTAATTCTTCAATAGAAATTTTGGTACAGTTTTGTTGACCCACATAGATATCATCATATTCATTTCCATCCATTTCCCACATTTTCTTTTCAATCATTTAACAAATAATTTTTTTTTTTTTAAAAAAAAACCATGTTAATTTATGGGGTCTTAATTTTTAGGGTAATTAATGGTTGCAGAGCAAAAGCTAATTTATTACAATCTTTCTTTTGTCTATATATAGCACACATAGTATTCTTTTTTGCTATCAATTATCATGTAGAGAAAATAACAAGCAAAAGCTAGGAAAGTGGACTCTACTTAGGAAAACACTTCACGGCACTACAGCTTCTTGTTTGTTTGTGGTAAAAAACTTTCCCAAGTGAGGGCAGCAACAGAGAATGTCTCCAAAAAAATATTCAATGAGATATGTATATGGGGGGGATGAAACTGCAAGAGCTAATCAATAATTTATGTTCCCACTTCCAAAAGAAAAAGTGATAATGGAGCTTTAGAAATTTATATATCTCAAAGCACAGATCTGCCCACAAACAGAAACGAAATGCCTCAGATATAACCTACTAAGTTTCTTCTCCTTTCATATACGTACGTTAGAGGAAGATGGGAAGTGGGTTTCCCATGGTCCTTTTTATTTAATATTATCATTTTATCAGTCACGCCCTCCCTTGTATAGTGTCATCAATATATATGGGGTAGGGTTTAACTATATATGATCAAAAGAAAGAATAGTGATGATGGTGAAGATTAATTTAATTAGGGCATCGGAACCTTGATTTGGCTTATATACGTATTGGGTTGTTTAATTTCAACTTGTAATTATATAATTACGAGTATTTAAATATAATCAACGTCTGATATGCGTTACTATTTCAAAAAATATTTGTTCTCGAAAAGTATGTATTAAATCAGACCTTTCTTATTTACGACAAAATATAGATAGACACACACAATATTTTATGCATTATGTATTAAAGAAATATTTATGCATTGTTTGTTCAACATTATTGTCTATGTTATAATCAATTTGAAGATTTTTGTTATGAATATAGTGATTGATTAGATATAGGCTTTTTCTTTTTCTGAAAAAAATTAAAGTGCATCCATCTAATAAACTCTAGTTGAATTTCTACTTCCAGAGCTATGTAATAACTTTAGCTCTTTTATTAATACAACGGCACGACCATTTTCATCTCATTATATATATAGATATATATATATATATAT